CGGCCTGCTGAAACGGGCCTTAAATATCCTTCTGAGGAGCCTGCCTTAGCAACCCCGCTGCGAAGGGCCCCGGGGATGGTGCTGGCCCTGCAGACGTGGAAACAGGAGCTAACGTTTTCAAAGTCGGGGGCTTCAAGATGGGGTCTAAAGCAAGGGGGGGACCTTTTTTGGGTCGGGGGCCGCTGACCCACAGAAAAATCAGCCGGGGGCCGCACACAAGTGGGAAGCAAAAAAAAAAAACAAACCGAAAAAGTCACCAACCGTCACTCAGGTGGCCTCCGATTGAGAGGGAGAAAGACCCTCCCCACATTCCTGTCATGCACCAAACCTTAAGGGGGGCCCAGGCTAGTAGATTTTGTATGCTCCAGGCCCATGGTGGGGCAGCGGGGGGGGGAGGTGGGGCTAGAACTCAGCACAGCCTCCCCAATGCTGAGGGGGAAGCCCTGAGTCTTGGGAGCCGGATTCAGGCACGCCGGGCCCGAGGTTCCCCACCCCAGGTCTAAAGGAAGGCACCTAAGGACCTGCTTGGATTTCCAGAGGGGCTGACTACAAATGGAAGGCCAGGCCTGTCAGGGGGACGGGCAGATGGTTAGCGCTTTGGGAAACCAGGCCCCTTTTTAAATGCCCTCCTGGCGACTCAGGGGCCTAACCGGAGGCCCCCGACTGGGAAACCGTTGGCCCCCGAACTCTGCGTTCACTGGATTTAAAATCCGGGATTTTCCACGTCGCCCTGAGGTAAATCCCGTGGCGGGTTGTTTCCCTCACAGCGCCTGTCAGTTAATGTCACGGTGGAAAGAAAGCAGCGGTGTAAAAAGGCAGAAGCGAGGTCCCCTTTGACCAGCTCGGTGGGGCTCGTGGGGGGGCTCCCCGTCTGCAGCCCCACTGGCCTGAGCCCAGGCCAGCCCCTCCGTGTGTGGCTGTTGCAGTCGAGAGGGAACATGGGGGGCACCCGGGGTCCTGCGGGAGGGGCTGGCCAGCAGCCAGCGGGGGGACCAGCGAGGCTGGAGGGCCAGTACTAGCAGCAGCTTCCGTTCCAGGCTAGCGTCCCTCAGGCTGCAGGCCCCGGAGCTGGGCCCTGTGTGAAGGCACCAGCCTAAGGACCTGTCCTCTCCCAAGAGCCATCCAAGGGTTTTGCCAGCCCTGAGCGACGGAGACACCCCCGGTGGCCACGGCGCGGCGTTTCCCGCCGTTCACACGTGCTCTGTCCGCTTGTGTCTCCCGTGCACAGGGTTCTGACAGAACTGGTGTCTAAAATGAAAGACATGCAGATGGACAAGTCTGAGCTGGGATGCCTGCGAGCCATTGTCCTGTTCAACCCAGGTACGTCCTGGTGGCCATGGATACGCCCATGGGTACAGCCAGGGTCTTGGCACCCTCAGAGGCTCTCTCTAATTGTTCTTATTGGGGTTCAGCAACATGCAGGGGAGACGCCTCCTCTTACTGTTATGGCCATCTGTCCTGTGCCGTGTCTGTGAGTCTGTCCCACCACACAATGTGTTTTCACCATTGCCCTCCGCTGGGACAGCCAGATTTCACAAGGGTGTAGGAGGGTGTTGCCCTCTCGTGGCTACACATGGTCCGTACGCTACTACTCTGATTTCTTCCGAGTGTGCTGTGATCAGGTTGCCCGTGTGGCGGCTGCAATCTAGGGAAGACCTATGCCCTGAGAGGACTCGACAAATGTGAGTCATTGATCTAGGACGGGACCTTCCCTCTTCTCCTAACTTTGCTTAGGAGCCTTTGGTGAGGGACCCTGTCAAAGGCTTTTGGTAATTTCAGTGCTGGGGGGACTTGAGTGAGTGTGTGTGTGTGTGTGTGTGTGTGTGTGTGTGTGTGTGTGAGAGAGAGAGAGAGAGAAAGTGAGAGAGAGAGAGAGAGAGCACACACTTGCTAAAAACTGCATCAAAAGAGCAGGATTTAGGGTGCAAAGTGGGAACACTTGAAAGTCAGTAAATGTCACATTGACGGTTTTCCACACACAGCCTTGACTCTGTCCCACGGGGCATTCCACCTGTGCGTGGCATGAGACAGTGTGAGATCCCATCATTAAAGACTGCACGCTCAGACTGTCCCTGGCTATGTGTATGTACAGGCCCTAGCACCCTGGAGCTATCTCCAGCACTTCTTCAGTGACCCTTCGTCCTGTAAACCACACGCAGTATGGAACGTCAATTCTACAGTGATCTTCTTGCTTTGGGTTTCTCCCTGGTCCAGATGCCAAGGGCTTGTCCAGTCCCTTCGAGGTGGAGTCTCTTCGAGAGAAGGTCTATGCCACGCTGGAAGCCTATACAAAGCAGAAGTATCCTGAGCAGCCTGGAAGGTAAACCCTGAGCCTCGGTCGCTACAGGACACGTGGCATGCACCGTAGGGGTGTGGAATAGTGAGATGGCACCAGTCCCAGCTAGGAAGCAATGCTGATAGGCACGAAGGACTCAACAGAGACCTGTTTGGAGACTTGATTTTGTATCAGCAAAATTGCAGCCCCAAACTAGAAACATTTTTGGCTGGAAAAAAAAATGCTTGTGTTGGCTGACCGGTGGTGGTTCTCGGATGAACCCAGTGCAACACTCCCCTCTCCTGGCTGATTTTGAGAAATGCTGGCACACGTAACATCACACGGCTTTTTGAAGCCTCCTAAAGTTGTAGGCAAAAGGAAAAGCTATGCGGCACTTTAAAGACTAACCAGATGGTTTAATAGGTGATGAGCTTTCATGGGCCAGACCCACTTCCTCAGTTGCAGGCAGCATTATTGTGATTTTCTTGGCTCCGGATTTGTGTGCTGCAAACAGGAAGCAGGAAAAGGTTAAAGGTCAATCAGCTGTCAACATGGCCATGTTTGGTCCATAAGCTAAAGAAAGTGAGCAGGCCGAGGCTGGTGATAGGCGATGAAGGTTTTTTAAGGGCCATTCATTTTTAAGCAGAGTTCAGCAGTGATTTCAGTGGCATGGCTTAGCTCTAGATCGCTAGTTCAAGCCCTGTCTGGGGGAGATGCCAAACTAGCTTTTTAGGTTTGAAAATGGGGGATAAAAATTTCTCCTGCTCTTTGCTCTTCGTTCTCCAAAGACAGGCTGGTTTTAGGAGGCCAGAAAGAAGATCCTTGTGTATCCTGCACAGCTGCTGTAATTTGCCCCCAAATGTTCTAAAGAGAGGGGTTTGTAGTGCTTTCAACACAGATAAGTTGAGTCCCCGAGGCCGACTCCACACTACCGGGGGCTATCAATGTAAGTTGTGCAACTACAGCTGTGTGAATAGCATAGCTGAAGTGGAACTTCTTAGCTCTACTTACTGTGGTGACTTTACTGCGGTAAGTTAACAGCGGAACCTGTCCCATCGACTCACCTTATTCTCGTTTTGGTGGAGTGCTGAAGTCAATGGGAGAGTACTTTGTGATTGATTTATTGTGTCTATACTAGACATGATAAATCAACCCTCATGGGATCGATCACTTCTCCTTGATCTGGCAGGTAGTGAAAATGTGTCCCGTAATTTTGATCCGATTAAGCAGAGAACCAGCATATCTGTTACTGAGAGATTAAATTATGAGAAGGAAAATATAGGGTGAGACATCTTCCTCACGGCGCGCTATTCTGGGCTTGTGAAATATTCTGCTAAGGGAAGTTGTGCAAGCTAGACTGGACAGAACAGAGAACATGCAGTGAAATATTTTCAGCAAATTGCATTTTTCAGGGCACTGAAAATCTCTGTGAATTCCGAGGTCAAATTCTGCAAAAAAAAATCAAGATGTTTTAACTTTCTGGAATACACCACCATTTCATTTGGAAAATTAAATATTTTTTTAAAATGGTGGAAAACCACTTAAAACAAAAAAGCCAAGAACAACAACAAAATCATTTCAGGTTGAAAAAAATGTATAGTTTAGCCAGAAATAGATTGTTTTTGTTATTTTGTGTGGGGGTTTTGGGGGAGCTTTTTTGTTTTGGGGGGACTGAATGTTTTTGTTTTGGGTTTTTTTTTTTTTGCTTTGTTTTATTTTTTGTTATCTTGTGTGTTTCTGAAAATAGATCAGTTTCTATTTGAACCTAACCAAATTTTTCTTCTAGGTATTTTATTTCAGCCCCTGAAATGGGGGGAGGGGAGGAATCCTTCATTTGCTCAGTACTGTGTAGCAGAGTAGGGAACAATCCAGCATTGGCAGGGACATAGTGGTATGGCTGGCCAGGTGCAGGGTGAAGAGGCAGTGTGAGTCAGTGGCTAGTGCACAGGAGGGGAAATTGCGAGACACAGATTCTCGTCTTGGCTCTGCTACTGTCCTTCACCTCCTTGATTCCTCTCCTTCCCGTACCTTGTCTATTCAAATGGGGAGCTTTTCAGGACAGGCTTTGTGAGTTTCTGCAGCCCTGTGCAATGGGTGCCTGATCTTGGTTGTGTTTGACTGGACTACCGGGGATAACCGTCCTTTCCCCTCTCTAACGTCTGTGATTCTCTGGCACGTTCTTCCAGATTTGCCAAACTCCTCCTCCGGCTGCCGGCACTGAGATCTATTGGGCTGAAATGCCTGGAGCACCTCTTCTTCTTCAAGCTGATCGGGGACACGCCCATCGACACCTTTCTCATGGAGATGCTGGAGACTCCGCTGCAGATCACCTGACCTGAGAAGGAACTAGTCGAGGACAATTTAGGACATCGTGGACCCCGTCAGCTCCTGCACACCCCCCCCCTCCACCCGGCCTCTGTCCCATCCTGCGACTGATTGTAATAAAGAGAGGATTTTTAAACCTTCCGATCTTTCTAGGTGGGACTATTTGTACAAGCAGGAAGTTACTCATCAGCCCCTCCCCTGTGGAATTGCTGCAATTTATCAAAGCACTAACAGGACCCTTTCCCCTTGTACGTTTAATCGGTTTAAATTATTTTTTCACTCTCAATAAACGCAAAAAAATATATATATATATATATATATATGACACGGGCCCAGATCAGAGCCGTGTGTGTGTTGTTCTGTCACCCGGCGGAGCATTCGGCACAGAGGTGGGGACCGGGAAGGAGTCGGATAGCTCAGAGGCCTACCCGTGGGCGACGTTTGAACCAACGCATTGGCAGCCAGTTCGTGCTGCGGATGTAAGGTCTGTTCCCTCAGGCCTTGCAACCCCCCATGCGGTGGTGGGCAAGCCCAGGCCTGGCCAGGGCGGGTTAGACTTCCCCCGTGTGCCGATGTCAGGGCGTGGGCAGGATTTCAGGTTGCACGCCTACCTGTGCTGCGCACTAGCATGCACCCAGCTCCCTGCACTCCTGCGGGCTAGAAATTGGCTGGTGAGGTTGCAATGGAAGCTGAGGGACTCGCATAATCCCAGAACACCTAGGCCTGGAGCGTCCAGGAAAACGCAGACTACTGCAAGACTCACAACAAGTCCCGGCCTCAGCTTCCCACCGACCTGTCCCTCCTGGGTCATACTGGGTTACCACCGTTAACTGCAGTGGGGTACATAGCCTTGCGAGTGGCTACTGCACCTGGAACGGCGTGGGTTTGAGCCAGAGCCCAGCTAAGACTCTTCTCCAAGGCCTGTGGTGGGCTTCCGGCGTGACTTAAACACTGGCTGATCCTGCCTGGCACTCGGATGCAGAGAGTTTGAAATAGTTCCAGTCATTTTCCACTAGGGGGCTCCCTAGCACACGGCTTTCGCTGAAGCCAACGTGTAAACAGGCCTGGCCAGGTTGGCTACCCCTAACAGAGGCACGGATCAGCCTTCCCACCTGCTGGAATGCTGCCCCCTATGCCAATGTCGGGACTCTGGAAGCGTTACCCGGCCATGGAAAGGGGGCAGATCCCTTTCTATTTGCCATTGAGAAGGGGAACGTGCGCTCTGGCCTTGGGTCAGATTCTCGGCCGGGGTAGATGGGCGTAGCGCCAATGAAGTCTATTTATACCAGCTTGTGGTCCGGAGCTCAAGCAATGGGAGAGACGAAAGCACAAGGAACAATTTTCTTCTCCTGTGAGCCTGAGAGCCCATCATGACCCAGTCCTTGGGCCCCCCCACCTGCGAAGGTGGTGTGGACAGGATACACCCTGGAAGTGGGCAGCGAAGGGAAGGCAAGCGCAAAGTCCGCAGTGGCATTCAGTCCCCGCAGTGTTTCCTGGTGCATTGTGATGGCGTTATGCACATCGCCCCCTAGTGGCCAAGCCAAATATGGAGTTGTTACTCCTCCCTAGCCAGCTGGCAAGATAATGCCCCCTAGTGGACAGGCCCCGCCTTACTTGGTGTGAGCCATGGCTTACGGACACTTCTTGGCCTCGGTTTTGACTAACGCCACCTTGCTGCAAGGCAAGTATCAGCGATGCTAGCCTGCCGAATTTGGCAGGGCCAACCAATCCAAAGCCATCATCATCCCTGTAGCTATTATATCTCTGAAGTAACTTCTGGGACTCCCAGTCATGGACTGAGACTTCGTTGTGCTTGGTGCTGTACAAACACAGAACAAAGAGACAGTCTACATTGAGTTAAAATTGAGGCACCCCAAAAATATTGCGAGATGGGCTTAAAAATTACCACGTTTTTAAAAACAAATAAATTAGGGAGTCTTATCGTTTGCCTTCTGGCTCCTGAGCCTTGAAGGGTCATAGCTGCAAGCTCTCCTTTGAAACCCAGCAGGGTTAGAAATTGACCCTTTAAAAAAAAATCTCCTAATCCCACAGTTCCAGGACCTGGGAATGTAAAAAATATGAGCAAGACTGAATGTTGTGAAAGTTGCCCTGGGAAAGGGTCTGAGTGCACCTAACAAATGCCACTTACTAATGGGGCGGAGGGGGGAAAACCCAGCACGCGGAAAGTGGGACCTCTTGAAAATTGAAATATTTTTGTTTTGAGAAAAAAACCAGAACATTTCGGAACATTTCAAAATAACTGAGAACGTTTCAGTGCTGTTTTGGGGTCTTTTTTGCAAATAAAAGACCACTTTTTATTAAAAATAGAAGTTTAGAACAAACTTTAACTGGCTCCACACAAGAGCTGTGCCTGACGCTCGGGGATGTTACTTACCCTCACCTGTAGGCAGCGCAAGGAGCCAGCTAGATGAACGCTTTCTGGGTGTGTTCAGAAGGGCTGCCAGTTTTGGTTGGACGTATTCCTGGATGGGTCATCACATGACCTAATCTTTTGTCTGCGGTAGGTCCTTATGGAACAGTCTTCCTGGGGGTTTGCTCGGATGCTGGATTTCCCAGAATCCTCTGATACCAGCTCTTGAAAATATGGACCCTCCTCTTCCCCTTCCCCCGAACATGGATTGTTGCATAGATGCCTGATTTGCACACACTTGCCCCCAGAGGATTCTGCCCTATCTAGACGGCTGGAGTCAGCCACGGGTAATGAACGACTAATGACTTCCTATCATCCCCTAGGATTTGGTGTGTGGCTCCACCTGGGTTTGGTCCTAACTCCCCTGTTCTTCATGTGATTCTTCGTGAGGCTACTTCTCAACACTGAGTAGGGACACATCCATTGGGGAAAATCTATCCTGTAAAAACAGTCTCTGTAAATGCTGCCAGCATCACCACCATACACTCCCCAATAGCAGTTGCCTGAACACTTAAAATCACATAGCTCTGGTCACAAGAGAACACAGAAACTCTAGAGGCAGCGTTGCCTAGTGGATACAGCATTGGACTGGTACTCGAGACCTCGCTTCTCTTCTCAGATTGACTACTGGATGACCAAGGCAAGTGGTTTTGCCTTTCTCTGACTCCATTTTCCCATCTGTAAAGTGGGGCTAATGTCACTGGTTTCCTTTGCAAAGTGCTCTGAGATCAACTAGCAAGAAGGGCTATAAAAAAAGAGCAAGGAGTTTTATTATTATTATTTATTTATTATAATTGTATCAGACTTCTAAATTCTGTACAGTGATTATAAACCAAGGTGATCAAGCACCTTAGAAATACCCGAGAGCTAAATATGCCTGCTTAGCAGCAATAGAACTGTCTATCTCTTGCTCTTTGGGCCTTGCATGTTTGGGCTAGAGGAATGTTTGGATGCCAAAGTTTCCCATTTCAAGCATGTAAAAAAACAAACCCTCCCCCCAAATCTTACATATTACCCCTTAAAGGTGTGTGCTTGGCACAGTCATAAAATCTCTGTTCATATTCCACTTTTCAGAGAACACATAGAGATTTGAAGACTGCATGTGATGGAAAATCCACCACATCCCATAGCAAATTGTTCCAGTGGTTAACTACCCGCCCTGTGGAACTCCTCCCATGCTGTGCATTTTTATTTAAGAGGGTAAAACTGTTTTCCTGCACGGACAACTACATCTCAGCTGTTGTTTTAATAATAAATATAGTGTAAGCTGATCTCCAGGAAATCACATCTGTGGGGTGGGAAGTGGACCCTGTATTCATCTCTCTATATATGTATTTTAGAGTGAGTGCGTCTGTCTGTGTGTCAGTCTGTTTGTTCAGGAACTCCTCCTAAACACTAAATTTTGGTAGGCAGCTTCCGTTTCTCCTAACTTAAAGTAAGGGCTGGGTTTGGTTGTGCCAGGACAATTGGAAGCCCCAGGAAAGGGACTGTTTTCCACAACATGCAAAGGGAGGGGCTGCTATTCGGAAGGACGCAATCCTGAGAATGGCCACTAGGGGCAGCGAGCCGGCAGGGGAGAGCTATCCTGCAAAGTGACCACAGGGAGGCAGCTGTACCACCAAGGGCGTGGTCAGCGGGGATGAGGCTCCGCCATCTTGCCTGCCAGCACACCAGGTAAGTAGCCTCCCTGCCCCAAACTCTTTCCCCTCCCCCAGCATTTGGTTGCAGTGATGGGGGAGGGAGAAAAAAGGTCCCTGGCAGCCATAGGGGAGGAGTTTGGGGGGGGAGAAAGGAAAATGGCCCCTGGCAGTTGGACTGGGGGCTGCTGAGAGAAAGAAAATGGCCCATGCAGATAGGATTCCCCCCACACTCTGAGCCCCGTCCTCATCCCCCAAACCTCTGTTTTGCCATCCCCCTGTCCAGCAGTGCCAGGTAACTCTGCTAGTGAGTATATTTGAGCTGATCTTGTGTCTCTCCTTTAATGTAGAACTGGAGCTGAAGTGGGTTGTTCAGGTGACTTGACCTTAGACGTAGCTCTAAGTCAGAAAGCACTTACGAGTCTCCTTAAACCATCCCTGGTCAGGAACACATGTCAGCAGGTGCTCAAGGCCCGTTTTATTAAAATTCAGGTCTGACTTTCTCTCAATATTCAGTGCACTTTCCTTAAAGCATCAGTGTGCACCTGTTTCTACTGGTCTGCTGTCTGTGCACCATACGTGTCTGTCTGTTCACTATACGTGTCTGTGCACCATGCATGCCTGACTGTTTACTATACGTGCCTGTCTGTGCACCATGCATGCCTGACTGTTTACTATACGTGCCTGTCTGTGCACCATGCATGCCTGACTGTTTACTATACGTGCCTGTCTGTGCACCATGCATGCCTGACTGTTTACTATACGTGCCTGTCTGTGCACCATGCATGCCTGACTGTTTACTATACGTGCCTGTCTGTGCACCATGCATGCCTGACTGTTTGCTATATATGCCTGTCTGTGTACCGTACACTCCTGTCTGTGCACCACGTGTGCCTGACTGTTTCCTATACGCACCTGTCTGTTCACTGTATGTGCCTGTCTGTGCACCATGCGCACCTGTCTGTTCACCATATGTGCTTGTCTGTGCACCTATCTGTTCGCTATATGTGCCTGTGTGTGCACCATACGTACCTGTCTGTGCACCATGCGCACCTGTCTGTTCACCATACGTGCCTCTCTGTGCACCATAGGTGTCCATCATGCCTCTGTGAATTGTTAATCTGGGGGCCCTTTGCCTGTTTCTGCCTGACTGCAGTTAGACACCCCACTCAGGTGGCCTTGAAAGGAGCGGGGCTTGTAGCCACAACTTTAAAAGGGGAGGAGTCAGCTGGGGCAGCAGCAGTGCCTGGAAAGATGTCAGTGGTTCTTCCTGAATCAAAACTGCTGTTGAAAACATCAGGGAGGAACTGCAGCTGCCCCCCTCCCGTCCTGTCAGGATCCACAGCAGCCCAGTGCGGGGGAGGCGCAGAGTAAGAAGGAAGGTCCTCGGGATGCCAGGAGCACCGCTGCTTCCTTCAGGACACACCTCTGGCTCCCCCGAGATGGGAGATCTGGGAGAGGTGGGGGGGCTGCATGGGGTGGGGATGATATTCATACTGCAGCAAGAGGGTCCCCGCTGCGCCAGGCGCTGTACAAACACAGAACCAGTCCCTGCCCCAAAGCTCTGACAGGCTAACGCTGGGGTGGACGCAGCTTTGAGCCTTTCGCTATGAACGTGGCGACCTGCGTGCGGCTGACACCACACCCCTCGCTAGCCCCTGCCCCTCGGGGACAGGGCAAACGGCGGACCTGTGCCTCACTGCCCCCTTGCAGGTCAGTGATTACCCCTCCGCGTTCCAGCATGGCCATCAACGGAAAAACTCACCCACGTGTTCCCCTGCTGGAGGGAAACCGATCGGTGGCTGCATGAGTCGGGTGACGACCTGGGCCTAGCTCCCAAATGGGTCTGTCCCCTCCTCGCCCCTATTTCCTCAGCAGCTGGCAATTGCCAGAGCTCCACGGACAGTGGCGTGGTGCTGGGACGTTGGCCACAAGAGCGCATGTCTCTGCTTTCCCTCTCTCCTGCCTCCCGTTCTGCACGGACCCACCCCCAGCGCTGGATTGGCTGGATGCTTGCGAATTTTAAGAGGGCGTGTTTCTGCTCATGGTTTCAGGCGCAGCATGGTGCTGGTGCGGGAGATGTCTTTCTTTGGAGATAAATATTGGTATTTGCCTTTGGAAAAATAAAACCAAGGAAGTTCCATGCAAATCGATATGTCAGGTCGGGTTGAACCTCTCTGGTCCGGCAACATCCCTGGTCCGGCATGATTTGAGTTAGCCGGATGTCCACTTAACATAGGTGCGGCCAAGTTTCCCACGGTCCCCTAAAGTTTGTTTACAGCCCCCAGTCCTGGCTCTCAGGTTCTGTGCTGGTCTTTAGCCCTAATTCACCCCTCAGTGTCTTCTACGAGCCCAGGAAGCAGGGGACGTGTTAGAAATGCTGCTAGACAATATTGACCTCCCATGGTTTGGTTCAGCAAATTCTCTGGTTCCACACCGGTCAGGTCCCGAGGGTGCCATTTAGACAAGACGTAGGTCTAAGGCAGCGCTTTTCATCCCTGGCTCTCAAAGCCCGTCTCTATCCTCGGCCCCACTTCACAGTTGGAGACACTGAGGCACAGAGCAGAGATGACACTTACCCAAGGTCATCCAGGAGGCCAGTGGAGGCATCAGGAGAGGCTCCCAAGTCGCTGGTCCCCAGCCAGTGCTCTGCCTAGTAGGCAGCGCTGTCTGATGTGATGTTACGTATCTGCGGGGAGGGTTGCCCCCGTGAAGCAACATGGAGGTACAGCGCATTCGGTAGGCCACGTGGGTCTGCATTGCAATCAAAGGCACCATTTTGGAAGAGCAGAAGGGGCGGGGCAGCCGTGCGTACCGGGCTGCAGCTTGCTTTTCATCCCATCCCTGGACGATCAGGGAGCAAGGGGGGAATACTATTCCCTGATTTACTCTTCTGCCCCCTCCCTTCACCCTCCAGGTGGGAGAGGCCTGCACAGAATCCAGTTACTCCCCCTCACCCCGATAGTCAGGGGGACAGGATGAAAAGCCAGCCGCTTCCTGGTGTCCACAGCTACTGCCCCAGCTTGCTGTCTCTAAACAGTGCCCTTGATCCTTGTAATTGGCGTGTTGGGAGCTGCACCCATCCCTCACTGAGCTGTGCCTCAGTTTCCCCTCCCCACCCTTTCTGTGCCTTGCCGATTTAGCGTGTAAACTCCCAGGGCAGAGAATGCCTCTTACTCCGTGTTTGTACAGCACCTGGCACGGGGGCGCGGGGAGCGAGGGGGCTCTTATCACAGCACTCGGAAGGGAACTGGGACCCAATTCACCGTCAGTATCCTGCCATATCCCACTGCAGCTTTCTCCTGGTTTTTTCGCTGGATCCCGTCTCGGAGCCAGGTTCCCACTGATGCCACCGCCCGAGGAAGGACTGTTAGAAACAGCCAGCCTTGTGCTCCTCCAGGCCCGGAGGATGGCGGAGATCTGTGCCCACCGGGCATAAAGGGCCGTGCCCTTATGCCGGATTCTCTCCCCTTTCTGTAGCTCCCTTCCCAGTGCTTTCCCCTTCCGAGGGCCCTGGGGCGGCTGGTGCTCGGAGCAGCCCCCAGGCCCGGATCCCTGTGAGAGCGATGTTCTCAAATCGGACGGTGAGATTGCAAGTTTTAAAATGTCCGGCGACACGTTGATGACTAGCTCGTGTAGTAAGCCAGAGGCTCTCGTGAGTACCCACCCCTCGCTTCTTGGGATGCTTGAAGGGAAGCCGAGATGGGGGCTGACGTCACTGCTGATTACATCGGAGCGGATGCGGCTTGCGTCCGACAGGGATGAGAAGGTGCGGGTACCCGGCTGGGAAGTGACCTATTGGAATGAGCAAGTCAGTCCACGTGTCTATTGAAACCTTGCGTCAGGGTGTCAGATTTGCATGTGAGGGCCAGCGTGGCAGTTTCTCCTTGCAGCCTGCTTTTGAAGGTTTTGGTGCTGTTGTTTGCGTTTGTGTTTTTGGGGGGGCTTTTTAGGGGGGGGAGGGTTGTCCGGAGAATGGCAAGTTGCAAGGCAGTAGCTACGGGTACGTGTACATAGCAGTGTTAATTCGGATTAACAAAATGCGCGTCCACACAGCAAGCCATCATTTCGGAATTATTTCGAGCTGGAGGTCGTCTTACCCCGACTCCTGTAACCCTCATTTTACGAGGAGTAAGGAAAGTCGCAGGAAGAGTGCTCTTCCTTTGAGTTCCTGCTGTGCAGACAGCGCCAAAAGTCGAGTTACGCTCTTTCGACTTCAGCCACGCAATTGACGTAACTGAAGTGACATAGCTTAATTCGACTTTTGCCCTGCAGTGTAGATGTGCCTGATGTGTCCAGGGCAGAGTGTAAGAGAGATGCAGATGCCACCTGCCACGGCCTGTAATTAGTTAGGTGACGGATGATCAGCAGACCTGAACTGCTCAATCTCCAAAGGAAGAGTCATACAAATCTATGAATCCCCCCCTACCCGCCACCCCAATATCGCCGCTGCCTCTCTGACCTATGGGAACATTTCCTTCTGACCAATGGCGTTGGAATGATTTGTATCCACTGCGCACAACTGTAACCCCTGTATGTGATGAAACCACTTCAAGCCACAGTCTGGTGCAACCCTGTCCCCCCCCCACCCCCCACTCTCCAAATCTGGAGAGCCAGGAGGTGGGAACACAACGCACCTGACAGGCAACTAAAAGAATATTTGTGCTACCTCTTGTACTTCGGTGTTAAATTAGTGTGTGAGGCAGCATGGTTAGGGGAATAGCCTGGGGTGTTGGACACCTCACCTTCTTATTTCACCTCTGCCACTGGTGTACCGTGAGAACTTGGGCAAGTCATTTCACAGCACGGTGCCTCAGTTTCTCCTCAAACCCATTGTCAGTCATCTTTGTTTGGCTTTCAACTTTTCAGGGTTAGGCTCGCCTGTCTGTTACTGGCACCACAGGTCAGAAAATGGATTTTCTCTCCTATGACAAATCCGGAGATTTTGCCTCCCCTCCGCCCAAAAAAAAGTCCCACGGTGAAGCAAAAAGCCAAACATTTAAAAATGTGACAAAACAAAATAGAAAATAAGTGTTGTGTCCCGATATTTTGTTTCTAGCAACGAGAAACATTTCGGGGGATGGGGTTTTGATTTTAAGTCATTGCATGTTTTTCTACAACAAAATGCCAGGTGAAAAGGCACTTCCCAGGGAAACCAAATCAAAACTTTCCCATTCCAAACATGTCAAAAGGAGATGCTCTACATTTGCAAAATGGTTTTCCCTTTTAAAAAAGAAACCCACAATTTTTTACCCAGATCAATACGGTGCCAGGAACCGTTGCAAATCAGTGAAAATTGCCTTTTCCAGGGGGAAAAATGTTTTGAGGAACCTTCGCTAATCAGCTTTTGTGTCTATGTGTATGGACAGGGACTGGAACAAAGGGATTCAGACAGCCAACCGGTAGGCACTGCTGTAACGCTGCTGTAATGGAAATATGCCTTGTTTTTTGCACTATTGTACACGACTGAGAATCAATGCAAGCGATGCACATTTCAGATGGCTCTGAGAAGTCGTCAAAAGCACTGGGCTGAAATTTGCCTGTGCAAATGTGTATGCCCTTTAAGTGTATGTAAGCAGCAGTCTTTAAATGATCACCAATGATGTCTCAAATAATATCTAATGGAAATTACTGAGGACTGCAAGGTAGATGAATTAGGCAAGGGTATTTACTATCTTGTAAGATATTCCTATTTGAGTTTCCTCTGAGTTTGTTCTCTGGATTCTCTTGAAGTGCTGTTTGCAAGACATGTATATATGGTTGTATATATGGTTGTGACTACTTTCTTCCACTATTTGATCTGAGGAAGTGGGTCTAATAAACCATCTTGTTAGTCTTTAAAGTGCTACATTGTCCTGCATTTTGCTTCAGCTACCCCAGACTAACATGGCTACATTTCTATCACTGTTTGCAAGACAGGACTTAAAACTGGTGTGAACCTGGTGACTGCAAAATGCAGCAATTTCTGTCTTGGGCTATGTCTACACGGCGGCGCTATTTCGGGATACCAGAGTATCTCGAACTAGCCATCCTGCATCTTCACAGCAAACCTGTTATTTCGAAATATAACAGGCTCGCTCTTCCAATGTCCCCGTAACGCTCATTCCACGAGGAGTAAGGGACGTTTCAGAATAGTGGGTTATTTCGAAATTTGGCGCCGTCTGACAAAATAAGCTATTTCGAAATAAGATCAAGTTGCCTCGCTCAAATTGTGTTTCTGATTTTGAGCAACGCTTCACCTTGGGGGTGAAGATGGATTTAGGCAGGATCCAATCCAAATCTCATGGGGTCGTTGATGACAAGGCGTCTTTCCTATGCAGAAGCGATCCCAATTTCTTGACCCCAGTAACACTGGGCTCCCGATTCTTTTGCGAACTTTGCAAGGGTAGGAGTTTGCCAACGGATTTGATTGTTTTCCTGCTCGGACATAAAACTAACTAAATATTTTTATTATTATTATTATTATTATTTTATTTATTAGATCTGGACTTTCTAGACTCCAGTCATCTGAAGAAGTGGGCTGTGCCCACAAAAGCTCATGATCCCATCTACCTGTTTTGTTGGTCGTTAAGGTGCTGCCAGACTAGGGGTTGTTTTTGAAGTTTTTCTAGTTGCAGACTCACTCGGCTACCCCCTGAAGCTATAAAAGGAAACGTGTCCCCAGGACCGAACGATTCCCAGGTAGTCCCGACTGGGATGGGATTGTCAAGGCCTGCCAGGGGTGGGCACAGCCGTCCTTACAAATGCGGGGGGGATTCGCTGGATCTGGGCTCAGCTCTGCTGCCCTGCCTCTGAAACGCGGGGCGGGCGGCTTCTCCCTGCGGAGGATTTCCCCGCACGGGTTGCAAGGCTGCCCGGTGCCTCCCGCCTCTAGGTCGGGCCGGGTTTGAATGCAGCAGGTGCGGGGTACTCTGGAGACGAGTCCGGACTTGGAAGGGGGAAGCCTCGGGCCCGGTGAACTTACTGGGAGTTTTGCCCTGGACTTCAGGGGAGCTCGGGTCCCCCAAAGATCGCACCCGTGGGGGGCGAGGGCTGCACGCGCCGCCTTTGGAGGGGCACCCCCGTTAACCGTGCGGGGTGGGGTTGCTTTGCGCGCCTTTCCTGCAACCTGCGGGGCCGGGAGAGGGGGCGAGGCAGGCCAGATGGGGAGGGAA